ATAGTAATCCCTTACTTTAGTTTTTGTCCAGCAACAACTAAAAGAGGAGCCGAGAGCGAGAGTCCAGCACGGCAGGCGAGTGGGCCGCTGCGAGACCACTAAAGTGCTTTAAAGAAGAGCGAAAGAGAGGAAACGAAACATTTCCCGGGGCTTTATGAATCCGCTTTATGCACAGAGATGAGAGGAAAAAAGGGAGAGAAGATGGAGAGGAATCACAGCTGAAAGTGGAAACACTCCCACGCACACGGCCTTCATTACTGCTCTCAGGAAGCATTCAGCTGACACACAACTGCTCCAGAGGGCGACCATCAAACTCCTAGAGATGTTCGTTAAAGTCTGATTGGTGATTAAGTTCCTCAACACTTTGGTTGATCTTGTTTTACTGGTTTAATCTCATCGTGCTGATGGTGGAGTCTCTGACGTGTCAGCAGAATGTAAAGTCTGACTGCAAACTTAAATAAAAGCATCCTGAAGCTTCAGATTTATTCTTCCTCAGCCAACAAACTGCAGGAGGTCCCAGTATTCTGTGCTGCTGTTTGTGAAGCCGGCTGCACACTTTCTATTGATTTTTACTTTTCTGCTATTGACAAATGATCAGAGGCTGCTGTCTTCATGATCACTGGACTGTAACATCAATGGTGGTTGCTTCCTGGATTGATTAAGTGGAGGAGGCGGCCTTTATGGGCATGTTTGTGAGATTGTGTGTGTACACCATGCTTTCTAGTTTTCTTGTTCAGCACGACTCTTTTCTTATTGTCATTCTGAGGAGTCCAGTGATTTATTTATATTTTGCTTCCAGTGAGCCAGACTACTTTAGGTCAGGAGAGGGGCGTGGCCATGATGGTCTACGGCGTCTGTAAACTGCGGTGGAGGCTGTGTCATGATGGGGCTGCGTTTAATCTGGTGGTGTTGGAGATTTTGTAAAACAGGATGAAATTATGAATGCTAAAGTACTGTACGTAAGGTTATTAGTAGGGATGGGTATCGTTTAGGTTTTATCCGATA